GCCACCCGTGGGCCACCACGGCCCGTTGCCAGCCTACAAGGGCAGGAGTGAGCATCCTGCTGATCTCAATGGTGCTCTCGCGTCGTCTGGTGCTATCGACCCAAACCCAAGCACTTTCCCAGAAAACCAAGCTGTTTTTCCGTCTAGTTTACACTCGCCCAGCGTGCCAAAGCCAGTCGGTAAGAGGCAAGCCTCGTCAAAAGACAGTGTCCCTAGCCCGCGGCTACTGGTCCAGAGTAGCCCTCTTAGAAGGAATATGCCACCGAACTCTCTCTCCCAAGTGCACTTTCAGAACAAAGTCTATTGCGGTTCCCCGGCGGGCAGCGTGAGCGCAGGATCCGTGCCTTTCGACACAAGCATTCCCACTACACCGCCCACCCACCCCAGGCTTGTGCAAGCCTGGGACGGTGCCACTAAGGCGTTTTCTCCCGTGGACCAGAATTCAGCACCTTATCCAAACCCTGTTGGAAACCAGTTCTCATTCGAGTGCCAGCCCGGCCCCGAGCAGAGGCAGCACAGGCAGAAAAACGCCCGGATGCCTTGGCAGCAGATACACCTCGCTCCTGCAATGCCCGCTCAGAACAGGATAGAGCTGTCGAGACAACTCAGCGGCCAGAAGCTCCCTTTCGCCCTTGGCACGTCCGAGTGGCAAGGGAGCGTGAAGGCCCAGAAAAGCGCCCCGCTAAGCAGCTCCCCCGGGTACCACGGCAAAAAGCTCTTGGGCGGAGAGGGCCTCGGGGCGCAGCGGGGTGAGCCCGGCCGGCAGAGCTGCGGTTCGGCGAGCGCTTTCTCCTTCGAAAGTGGGAAGGACCCGGGGTCTCCCGCCTGTGACTCAAGAAGCAAAGCCCTCTTCTACGGCATGGGCCAAGCAGGGCCTCCTCCTCCCTCCAGGAACTCATCCAGCTCGGCCTTGGCCTTGCCGCCGTCAGCCTTGGTGGCTGCGTCCCCGTGCGAGTCCCCGCTGCCTTCCCCTGTCCCCAACCCCACGTGCAGCAGCACCTGCTCCTCTCTGTCCCCCATGTCGAGCAGCCCGCTCAACCCCAGCTTTGAAGACAGCCAGATGTCTGGAGCACTTACCCCTTCTCCCTTCTTCCATCATCCCTGTCATCCCAAGGAGAGCAACAAAACCTTCCACCCCGCCGATGTACTGAGTTCGGGCTCGCTTCATTACCACCCATCAGACTCTGTCAAGTCCTTCCACTTCCCTCCCGACACCCTGAAGGATGACAGTCTCCTCAAATGCACCCCAGAGAGCCCATTCCACAAGCCCAGCATGGAGGTGGCCAAAGGATGCCTCGACGGTCTCGAAGGGGAGCCGCCTCCGCCGCCTTATTCCTCCCATCACCTGCTGGCCACCTCGCTCAGCAGCGCCAGCCTGGACCAGCTGGACGTGCTGCTGACCTGCAAGCAGTGCGACCAGAACTACAGCAACCTCTCGTCCTTCCTGGAGCACCGGCAGTTCTGCGGCTCACACGCTGCTTTCCAGGGCGAGCCCAAGGACGCTCCGCGGGCCGCGGAGTGCAGGAAAACGCTCCCTCCCGAAGCCGCAAAGCACTCGCACGCCGGAGCCAACCTGGCGCTTTCGCCCGACCCCCAGGCACATCTGATGGCTCTAAACAAAAGCGACGATTTCCTGCTGGAGGGGGAAAGCAAGAGCGACGGCAAAGAAGATGCTCTGAAGGGCAACCTCTTCAACGGCCTGACCACAACCTCCTTGCCACTTACCGCGTCTGACTTGGAAATCGATGATGCCAAGCTGGACAGTCTGATCACAGAAGCCCTGAACGGCCTGGAGTACCAGTCAGATAATCCAGAGATTGACAGCAGCTTTATCGACGTGTTTGCCGATGAGGAGCTTACGTCCGTGAAGGCGGCTGGTAACGGGCTGTCTCACAAGACAAAAGAAGCCTCCGAGAACAAATCGAAGCACCCGGGACCCGAGGAGAAGGCAGCAAGCCAGCCCAAGGCCAGCTGTCATTATGAAGACAGCTGTCCTCGAGCGGAACAGGCTCGGAGAAGAACAGGAAAGCAGCACGTTCACAAGGGCAGAGCGGGCCGCAGGGCGCTGGGCCACGAGGCCGAGCGGCAGGAGAAGCCCCACACGCCGGAGCCACCTCGGAGCGAATCTCCGGGTCAGGCAGCATCCCGGGAAGAGCGACCCGACAAAACAGCCAGGCTGAGGGTGGGGAGAAAGAACAGCAGCGGCTGCATTCCAGCCTCAAACCAAAAGCAGCCCAGAAAGGCTGGCCAGGAGACTCACGCCAAGAGCGACGTTGGGCCGAGTGTTGCCACCAAGAGCTCCAAGCCGCCCCGGTTCTCCATGAAGGACATGAAGAAGCGGAAGGCACGGAGCGGGACGTGGAGCAAGGAGCTCATTCACAAAATTGTGCAGCAGAAGAACAAGTTCCACAAGCTGCACGTGAAGAGCAACAAGCACATGCAGTTCTCCTTGGTCACCGAGAGACTGACGCCAGCTGCCAAAGAGGAGAAATTTCAGGAGTACGACTACATTTCAGACTCGGATGACGACGGGGCAGAGTGCACCAAACTCCATGGGAGGAAAAGGCGGGGAGCAGGATTTATTGGGAGGTCCAAATACAGCTTTAGCAAGAAACGGCCCGGAAGGAGTGAAAGAGCCAAAGAGAAAGATCCCGCCCAAAGCTACAGCCAAAAAAGAGAGAGTCAGAAAAGAGAGACCCAGGAGCACAGGAGGGTTCCTGATAAGGAGGCCTCCAAGAAGGAGGATTGTGCAACCAGAGCACGAAGACGGAGCAGCCAGTCGTCTACTGGCAGCAATCAGAGCGTGAGCGTGTCCAGTGAAACTGGCCCCAGCCCTCGCGGCGCTGAACGGGCTGATTCGGACAGCGAGAAGGGCAGCGTGCAGGCGAGAAGGCACTCGGATAGTTCGGAGCACACACCAAGGACCCCGCTCGGCCTTCACGAGGACAGCAGCCCCAAGGAGAGCCATAAAAGCCAAGAAGAGTTTTCAAGAGGAACCAAACGGTTTGGCTCAGCCAAATTTTTGCTAGTAGGCTCCAGGACGCATCCAAGCACCAAGCCAGATGTTCCTCTGACAGACTTTGTGAAGGAGGACCACCTACCGCAGGCCCAGGAGAAGCAGCTCCCCAGCACAGACACATTTGGCAGGAGTCCCACTAGACCCTCCTGTAAGGACCATGCAGATGAGCCCAAGGGAGCAGCAAGCCATGCAGGTGAGACAGGGAAAAGTATTCTGGAGGCTCAGGAGTCCCCTGAGTTGGCAATGGTCAACCACGGGCATCCGTTTGCACCCTACACTGATGATGCTCTGAAGTATCCTGCAGAAGAGCTAATTGCTCCATCCCATGTCAGTAGTGAAGCCAGTCCTGGCAACGTGAGCGCCGCCTACCCAGAAGCCAACGTCAAATACTTGAAGGAGCGAGGGCTCTGCGACAGTCGGAAGGACTATCCGGCTCCTGTCGCCCCATATGGGGGGGATGCTGTTGGGATGATGCTTGCTGGCAAAGTGCCTGATACGTATGTGAACAGTGACAACACGTTTTTCAATCACAAAGGCCTGCCCGGTCACTACGAGTCCAACCTCTTCTCAAAGCCCCCAGCCTTGGCTTCCTCACACACTGGTGATATGTACTTATGCCGCGATGACATTAGTAGCGGCTCCTTCGAGCAGAAACACGCCAATATCTCCCCCTACGCAGCAGAAAACCCACAGGCCAAGGTCTCCTCCCCTCTCAGCTTTGATTCCTCTTCGATATTTGGAGAACTCCCTGTCACCGAGTTCGATCCGCCGTTATACGAAAGCGTTTCTGCAAGCAAAGAGAGTTACGTGACAACATTTGCCTGCCCTGGCAATGCACCCAGCAAGTCACTGCCATTTGAGCAGCCGTATCCGCCGTTTATGCAGGAGAAAGACTGGACCCTCATGGAGGAGGTGGCTCCGATGTTGCCAGAAGACGTGACTCAGTTCCACAACCTTTCAACGGAGAAGCCACTGGCCAAGAAATTCCCTGATGAGGGACCTGTCCCTCCCAACCAACTGTCTCTGCCGCTGTCAGACAGGATAACAGATTATAACGTAACTTTTATGAACAACATATCAGACGATGAACTGGAGATCAAGCGGTTGGTTACGGAACTGGAAAGTCAGCTGCAGACGGGCAAAATGAATAACGAGGCGTCTGCTGCTCTGCAGAAACCTGAGCAACACATCACTGCACAGCTGCGAGGACAGGCAGATGAGCAGTTTCCACCCCTGCCTGTTGATCAAGAGCCTGGTCATGAGAAAGGGCTGTTTTTGGCAGACGACCTTGGGAGTCCAAGCCTTCTAGCCACGAAAACCTGTGCTGGCGAAAGGCTGGGGAGCGAGAAACCCGGTGTTGCCGATGCCCACGGCGACTACGAGAGCCCCAGGGAGCCCTGGCCCTGCCCTGTGGAGTTCAGCTCCCTGGAAGCAGGGATGTGCACGCCAGGCTCTGAGGACTCCCTCTCTGTGGACCATTTCTGCTCCAAAGATGCCAACGATCAATTCCAGGGAGCTGAAACTGCCAAGGAAAATGATTCCGGAAAGAAGGAAAAGAAGTCGTCCTCCCAGAGCCTGCCTGACTCACATACAGACAAAATAGAGGCTCCAATGTATACAGACCATATGATAAAAACCCCTCTGGTTGTCACTGACCCCTTGTTCCCTAAGACTCTAGAGGCAGCTGAACTAAACAAAGAAGATATTCTACCGTCCCTGCCATGTAAACATGGTGCTGAGAACTTCCCCGTGGCTGGAAAAACAGATAAAAACTTTGATGATCCTGCAGAGCTGGAGAAGTTTGATACACATCTTCCAACCCTTAAACCTGAATTTGGCTTTGAGCAGCAGCCAGCCCCAGCCTTGGATCTCGCCTTTTCATCTTGCATCAAAGAGGTCCCGGATGCAGAAGAAGGAGCTTTAAGCAAGTCCGAGTCACCCCGAGCGGGGAAAAGAGCAGTGTCCCTCACAGGGGAGAGCGGTGGGCCCGTGTCACTGGAAGAGATGGAGGAGAGCAAGAGCAGCACAGCCTTCCCAGCCCCTGCCACCAGCGACAAAGCCAGCAAGCAAAAAGTGCTGTTGCTCGACATGCTGAGCCTGCCCAAGGAGAGCGACGGGGGCTCCAAGGAGAGGGTGGCTTCCCAGGAGAACCCGCTGCAGCAGCTCCAGCTCTTCGTCGCCCGGACTGTGAAGAACAACGAGGAGGAGCTGCTGCTGCCGTGCTTCCCCGTGCTTCTTGCTCCCAACCACCCGCATCCCAACGCCAGGGTCCAGCCGGAGCGGAGAGAGGAGAGCAGGGACAACTCGGAAAGTGAAAACGGGACAGGCTGTGCTGCCCATGGGGAGGGGGATGTCCCCGCTGGAGGCGAGGCAGAGGGCATAGCTACCCCGTCTAAAGAGGCTGCAGTCTTCTCAGGTGCGTGTGAGCACCTGGAATCATTCAGTGAAATGGACTCCTACAGTGCAAAACAATCCACATTTGTGAGCCTGGAGCTGCAAAATAATGTAACGGAGCTGCAGCACTTAGCAAATGAACATGCAGAGCAGGATGACATTAATATCCATGCAGATGGTGTTTCCCAAGAGCGTAATGACCTCTCACCACTTCACAACACGGTGGTGACCCCATTGCCAGGGCAGGGAAAGAAAGCTGATCAGCTTGTGGAAGAGCAGGAGCAAGATAAAAACAAAGCGACCTTGGCATTTAAAAAACATGAGCAATCCCTTTTAAGCCATAGTTCACTTGAGAAAGAAGCGTTGGGCAGCGCGGCAGCAGGGAGGCTGGAAACAAGTGAGGCTGAATGTAGATCCTGGTGCGAGGGATCTAGCCAGGATGCGCAGGCATTAGGCTCCATAAAAACCAAACGGATCAGATCCGGGAATCATCAAGCAGGGCATGGGACACAGCCCCTCTGCGGTGCATCTGGGAGTCCTGCCAGTCCACTGAATCCCTCAGATGATCTCCACCAGGATCATCATTTGCTGCAGGGCACAAAAGCCTGCAGAGCAAATGCTAAGGTTCCCGAAGAAGGGAATGGCCAGAAAAGGTCCCTCGGGGGCTGTCACTACACGAGTGAGTCCCAGACCAGCCTGTCCTTGCAAACAAACTTGTCTCAGTCTAAATACTTGCAAAGCGGTGGTGAAGGAGGAGAGTTCCCCAGCTTCAGCACAAGGTTAACAGGGGACAATAAATACAGTGTGGAGGCTTCATCGAGTGCCTTTATCACGAAGAACGGCCCTCCTGATGCCGACAGCGGTCAAATGTGCCAGCCCTCCCCGAGCTCATTAGAGCAGGCGAAGTGGAGAGGAGCTCCCGCCTTTTCCCTGGCCCTGCATCCCTGCGGAGCCAGCATTCCCACACCGCTGGAGGCAGCAGGGAGCAGTCACCACCACCTTCCCGAAGGCATCCTGAGTAACTACGGACCGCCTGGAAGAGAAGGACAGGCAAGTGCTCCTCTGTGTGCTGATGATCTGATGGGCTCTGCTTTGGAAATGGAAGGTCCCCAGAAACTGCTTGTCAAGGGCTGCTCGCTTCCCTGCTTGCCGCCTTTCAACCAAAAGGATGTTAGGAATGAGGTACCAGAAAGCCCTCGTGCCACATCAGGCCCTCATTTTAAAGAAACCCAAGCACACACCAACACAGACACAATTACTAATTCCCAGTCCGCTCCTCCAGAAACCCAAGGTTACCCAACGCTGCCCACGACAGATCTTCTGCTGGTTAGAGAAGGAGAGGTAAACTTAAATGAGAAAGAGCTTGAGAACTGCCCTCAAGAGGAAAGTAACCCTCAGAATGAACCAGAGGCTTTGCCCAGTGGTTCGGTTGCTCAGCAGATACCACCTCCTGTCAGCAACAGTCCTGCAAGGATTGCAGAGCTCAGTCCTCCTAAACTAAATTCCCACCAGGCAGCAGAGGTGAGACCTGGTGATCCTTCCGAAACTATGGAGCATGGAGGAAAGAACTTAAAAAGTGAGAAACCCAAAAACCGTGGGGCTGAGCGTGGCGGAGAAGCTGGGAGTTGCATGTTAAATAACATGGGTCAAGGGGAGGACAACATGTTCACTGGTCTTCCAAACGCTTCCCAAAATGAACTTCTGAAAGAAAAGAAGCCAACTGGGCTCCAGGTCACCTGTGATATTTGTTCAGCCTCTTTCCGGTCCAAGCCTGGCCTGACCAGGCACAAAGCTGTCAAGCATCAGGTAAAGAATAGCGGCATATCACAGGCAAGCAAAACTCCTGAGTCAGATTTAATTCCAGAAGACAAAGCATCAAAAGTGGCCAGAAAGGTCCCTAGAAGGACCCTAAAGACTTCTGTCAAAGAGAAAATCTGCAGCTCTCCAGTGCCAGACACCGCTGTTGAGTGCACCCCCAAGAAAATAGGCCCAGGCCTGGAGAAAGAACCCAATGCTCAGATGCAAGAAGTAGTGAGCAGAGTGCTCAGTGACCTCAGTGTTATTTCCTTTGAGATGTCCCAGGAGCTTCATCGCACGGGTGTTCTGAGCAGAGAGATGAAGGCAAAGTATCAGCGCTCGGAGACGAGGGGAGCGGGTGAGGCAGAGGCTGAAAAGCTGCATCCTGGAAAGCAAGCCAGGAAGGGAGAAAAGGGCAGAAGGAACCAAAGCAAAGATCCTGCAGGAGCAAACAGCAATCCTGACAAAAAGCTCAACAGGAAAGTGAGACGAAGGAAAGCAAAGCTGTTTCCCAACAGAAATGAGCCTGATGGTCCCTCTGAGCTGGAGAATAACGTGAATTTGGGTCCTTCCCCTGTCGGCCTCAGCAGTGTTAGCTCCAGTTTGTCCACTACAATTGAGGGTTTGCACGAGCCAGGCAGCTGCATCTCAACAGAGGAACAAAATCAGCCCGCAAAATCCTCACAAAAAGTGAGACAGTGCCCTTGTGCAGTAGAGGACCCGGGCAATAGGATGGAGTCTTCAAAGGAAATGGTCAGGAAGGAGTCAATGAAGGGCACAGTTGCTTGTCCTACGGAGGTGGAAGAGCCAAGTGGAGTGGAAAACCCAGAGGCTTGCAAGAAATGGGTTGTGAAGCAAGTGGAGAAGGGATTGGGCAAGGTAGGCAAGGAATGGCACCTCCATGGCGAGGGCGCAGATGAAATGAACACTGAGACAAAGGACAGTTGCGCAGGAAACAGCCGTGCTGGGAGTCAGAGCAGTGCCCTGCAAAGTCCCACGGGCCCCGCTGAAGAGCAGCTGCCGCTGGAAAAGCGGGATTTGGAAACCATGCAGAAGGCTCCTGCGCAAGACACAACGCAGGGCACTTGTGGTGCCAGCTCCCCCTCCGGAGAGACCAAGCGCTGGGTGAGGGGAGACCTGCAGCAGGACAAAGAGCCCTGCATGGACAGCGCGGCCGTCGCGGACCTCCAGAGCCTCTTTGATGATGACTCCACGTTCTCCCAGCTGTTTCCACGGGACGAGCAGTTCATCCGCAGGAAGTGCACACGCGTGTACGGAAAGCGCGCCAAGAAACCCAAGCCTGTCACCGAGGTGAACATCCGCCCAGCGGGTGCCGTCGACCTCTTCACTATCCGCTTAGCTTCTGACCTCAGTGAAACCAACTCTTTCTGTGTCACCAGGGAGGATCCGTGCGAATACGAAACCATCTCCATCGACGATGCCTTAATGCTGAACATGTGTCACAGCAGTAAGGCGAAGAGCGGAGAAGCTGTTCCCAGTGCATCTAAAAATACTGCGCTGGGGTCAGACTGTGAGAAGATCAACCAAGAGAAGGAGGTCATTGACCTCGAAGATAACAACGTGCTAAATTTCTTGTGCCAAAACAGCCAAGTGGAGAATGTTCCCAGCTTGAACCTTTGGGGCTGTCTGGAGAAGGAGGGAGAAAGCATCTGCGCTGAGGACATGTTTGAGGCTCCAATGGAGCTTGAGAATGAGCACTCGCTAGGAGAAACGAGCTCAGAACCTCCCGACCTGGCAGAGGAGCCCTTCGATGGCAAGGTGAGCGAGGACGATTCGGACTCTCCTGAGTTTCACACAATTGACGTTGAGATGCTGAATGCAAAGCTAAAAATGAGGGACGTGTGTTTCTTTGGCCCTTGTGAAGATCTTCCTGGCCATACTGATGAAAATGCCGTGAGTTTCAAGCAGAAGCCAGATCAGCACAGCAAACACAGCAGACACAGGCTAGAAGATGGGAAGCTGGGGAAAAACCGCAGCGATGTAAACATCAAGACCAAAGACAAGCAGTACAAATGCAAAGTGTGTTTCCAGTGGTTCCTCACATTAGGGGAACTGGACTTCCACAAGCTCACCCATAACCCTTCCCCACCTCCTACCTGCTACATGTGTGTCCAGCGCAAATTCAGCTCTCGGGAGCAGCTGAGGGACCATTTGAAAGAGAAGCATGCCAAAAACAAGGCTGGCCTGTGGGCTTGCGGGATGTGCCTGAAGGAGATTTCCGACGTGTGGATGTACAACGAGCACCTCCGAGAACATGCCACCCAGTTTGCTCGGAAAGGGCAAGCGCAGAAGTCCGTGATGGGCCTGCCTGCCTGCTTTGGTGAGGACAGCGCCGCTGTCACCCACTTCCTCAACACCATCATGTATCGGAGACCCAGCAAGTCCTCCAGGCACGCTGACTCCAGCAACAAGCATCCAGGTAGCAGGGAGAACAAGAGCCCCAAAGAGCTGCCCCTTGAGCAGGAGGCCCCAGTGATGAAAGACCCTTTGGAAAGCAACGTCAAGGTCAAGCCATCTACACCCAGCTCTTCCAAAGCATGTGCCAGTCCATCTCCTGACCATATGGCAAAAAGCGAAAGCTCCCCCAAAAGCGTCCCCATGCATCCAGACTGCAAGGATCCTTCCAGAGACTGTCATCACTGTGGGAAACAGTTTCCCAAACCCTTTAAGCTCCAGCGGCACTTAGTAGTGCACAGTTTACAGAAGATCTACTTGTGCCACAAGTGTCCGATGTTCTACCAGGAGACCAAAGAGCTTCGAAACCACCTCAGCCAGGAGCATGGGATCCTGGAGGAGCAAGAGATCAAGCACACCACCCTGTATGCATGCGAGCTCTGTGCAGACGTCATGCACGTTATCAAAAAGTCCTTCATATGCAGCATGTGCAACTACACGTTCTCCAAGAAAGAGCAGTATGACCGGCACATGGAGAAGCACCTTGCAGGAAGCAACAAGACCTTCAAATTCAGAGGGGTCATGAGGCCCGGCGTTGCCTCCAGAGAGGGCAGGGAGAAGGTTAAAGAGGAAGGCTCCCTCCTGGAGCCACCAAACAAGAAAAGGAAAGTTGTTCATCGTAGCAGCTCACTGCCACGTAGCTCTCCGGTGCCTCACCTGGACCACGCGAGTGACCTGCAAATGGCAGAGGTTGCAAGTCCCAGCCTGCAAGCTCCTAGTGAGCCTTTCCCTCTAGCAGCTTGTGAGCCAGGAGCACCTCTACCCCAAACCTCTCTGAAAACAGAAGACCTGGTGGGTGATTTCTCTGAGCTCCTTGCAGAGATGGAGAAATCTCAGTTTGATGCCCTGCCTCCGCCACCCTGTCTCTCGCCGTCTTTGCCACCAGCTGCCACAAGCAGTCCAGAGCTCGGCCACGTCACCACCCTATCCATTGAGGAACTGGAGAAAGGAGCGTTTGATGGGAAACCGCTTCCTTTCTTGGACTCACCCGAGTTTAATATTGATCTTGCTGGGTTAGCCTGTAACCAGGTAGCGGATGAAAAACTGTCTCCTCCACGTCTTACTGAGAAACGTGGCAATGCCAATGCCCATAAAAAAGCAAACTTAGGCAGCAAAGATGAATATGTAACGGGCATCCTGGAAAATCCCGATGCCACCACCGGCGCTGGGAATGAGGTCCCATTTCTTCAACTCGCCAAGAAGGTCCCATCACCAAGAGCAGAGGCTCCTCAGGCCAAAGAGACCAACAAATCACTGTGGAGTGCAAACGATGGCCCTTCTTGGGAAGGAGCATCTAAAGCCACTTCTTCCGAGGCTGTCCACCACCCCGTGAAGGACAAGGCGGTGTCACCCGTGCTGAACAAGGCTACCAAAGAGTTGGCCATGCAGAAGAAAGCTGCAGGTGGCCAGGCCAGCAGCGACGCTCCTCCCAACGCTGCCAGTCCTGGGAGGAGCGCCGAGGAGAGCCCGAAATCCAGCACACCCAAGGAAAAAGCTGTGCCCGAGGCGGGCGCCTGTGCCAAGGAGAGCAGCGCTAACGCCAGCGGCAAGGAGCAAGGCGCCAACGGGGGCAAGTCCAGCGGCCACCACGTCAAAGGAGAGGCGGCCGGCAACGCCGCGAGGCACGCGGACAAGCCGGCTCTGAGCGCACCGGGCAAGCTGCACCCAAAGAAGAGGAAAGAGCACAAGTCCTTGAGCCACCGGGGCAGCTCCGGCTCCCGGGAGAACATCGAGGGAGACGGGAAGAAGAAGAAAGCCCGGACACCAGGTCCGGGCAGGAGCGAGAGCGCCGGCGAGTTCAAACACGCCGACTGGACCAACGCTGAAGCTTCTGCCCTCTCCCCGGGGAGGAGGGAAACGCACTGCAACAGACTGATTCCCAAGCCCAAAATGGCAGGAGTGGGCAACCAGCTGAAGAAGATGGTCCTGGACACCTACAACCAGAAGAAGGTGGAGATCCGTCACGCCAACGGGGACGTGAAGCGCAAGAAGGCCATCCTGGGCAAGAGCTTCCACCAGGTGCTGGCCAAGGGGCCGGCGTCCTCCCCGCGCGGCTCCCTGCACCGGCCGCGCGCGGCGCGGGGCGCGAAGCCCGCGGAGCCGGCGAGCTTCCGCACCGCCGAATCCCAGAACCATCTGCTCAGCCAGCTCTTCGGGCAAAAATTAACTAGCTTTAAAATTCCTTTAAGAAGAGATACTTCAGAGTAATTTATGAAAGTGACTTATGGTGATCCTCAGCTGCTTTCATGGGGTTTGCAAGGGAAAAATTATCAAAGCATTAAATTCGTTTGTGTAGCATGATTTTTCTGTCTAGCTTAAATGAACTTGCACTGCAGCCTCTGTGAAATAGTTTGCTTTGTGTCTACTAATCTACTTTAATTCACCTGATTTATCATGCAAATGCTAGAACTTTGATGTTGCTGATGATTTTCATGAACTGAAATTGTAATCGCTTTGGGCAGGCTGAATCGTCGAGAGCAATTGCTTTATTGCAGAAGTGCTGAGGTTATAAGGATACTTGCAAATCTCAGACCCTTTTGAGACTGTGTCTGTGTTATCTTTGTACAAAGTACTTGAAGAGATGAACTTCATTCCGTAGACGTCTTATTCATAAGGTGCAGTACACTGTAGAAAGCAAATTTTTTTTTTTTTGAAGATTTTGCACAAATAATCCTGTACAATTCATTTAATTGGGAGCCGGCCTAAGAGATGATACAATTAAAAAAAAATTAAATTAAGAAGCGAGTGGCCCATATTTTGACAGCCATCCCTATGAATTTGTTTCTACATTGTCAAGCGAATAACGAGCCAGCTTTGACGCTGCGTGGGCTATTCGAGCGTTCCCGACGTTGCTGCCGTTCTTTGACCACTGTAGCTGATGTAAATGGAGGAAAGCCAAGAGCGCGAGCAAACTGCACCTTGACACTTGTGACAAACTCTTTTTGTAGTGTTTTTTTAATTGTTATTTTGTCTTTTTTTTTTTGTTTCGTTCTTGGTTTGTTTTTGTTTTGCGCAATGACAAAACTGTGCCAATTTACCACACCAGAATGGTACTGTCCGAGTGCCCTCAACGGTATAACTTCTAACCTATCTTACTGTATTGAGTTAGTGGCTATATAGGTATCCGCTTTTTACTATGCAGTTACTGGTGCTATTTTTATTTTGTAATGTGAATACAGACTTCCTTGATTGAAAAAAATAAAGGGAACCGATAGGAAGTAGCAGTTACCTGTAAAAGAAAACAAAGCAGGAAAAAAATAATCAAACTTTAAGGAAAAAATCCTGTATGCTGGTACTCCATAGTGTTGGAAAGGTTACGTCACGTTATACAAGCACGTTATACAACCGAACTTTTGAACCGGAAAGAAATCTCAGGTGCAAACGAGGACATGGAAGATAACTAAATACTATTGAATACTCCCACGTCAAGGAGGTGAAGTAATGCACTGATGTGATATGAACAGTCAGAGTACTTTGCGTCTGTCCTGCAATTTTTTTTTTTGTTTTGGATTTAAAAGGAAAAAAAAAGAGGCTTTATTCTGTTAATATGTATCTTTACAAACCTTTGTATTGTATAAAAATATTGTAGGTAATTTACCTTGGGTGCAATGTGTTATGTCAAAAGTTTTTATTTTGATATTTTGTCAGAGAAGCAGAGAGAGAGCAGGAAACGCCTTTTTATGATGTCGTATGTGTGCTTTTAAAGTGCCTCTTTAATATTGTTAAATAAAGTATGAGATGAAAATATGGGGTGGTACTGTAAAATCATACATGATTAATCTTTTCAAATATATTCCAATATTTTCACAGAAACTGCCTGTCTGCGTGGTGTTTGTGGGCCAGGTCCGTCCCGGCCGGGGGCATCATCCCCTCTTATTCCCCGTGCTGAGCTCTGTGTTTTGCTCGAGAAAAATCTGCTGTGATTTTTCCCCCCGGGAACAATTCGATGCAGCTGCAGGAGGCCGTAGGCGACGCTGCCGTCAAATTGCAATAATAATTGCAAATTGCAGGGCCTTCAGCTCCGTTTCATGTTTTAAGGTGTTTCCCGGCCAGCCTTGCCCCAGGCCATGGCTCTTTGCGTGCACGTGCTGCCGGTGCTCCTACCCAAAGTATGGCTTTTTTTTAGCTCATTTTGGGGACTTCTGCTCTCCCTGTCAGCTCCGTTGTTGCCCAAACCGTTTCAGCTCCTCCTGGATCCCAAAGGTCCCCGATCCGAAGGAGCATTCCCAGCGTGAGCACAGGGCTGAGTGTCAGGGCTGGCATGGTGGGGCCTCTGTGCTGCTGGAGGCCAATGGAGCCGGTCAGCTGGGAATGCTGCTGTGTGCAATGGAGAAGGGCAGCAGTGCTGCACGAGAGTCAAGGGCTACCAGGTGCCCAGGAGCATCGGCTGCACCGTTAGCCACGATGCAATGCACCACGGTGCAACACAACGCAGTGCAACACAACGCAATGCAATGCAACACAATGCAATGCAACACAACACAACGCAATGCAACACAACACAGTGCAGTGGAACACAATGCAATGCAACACAATGCAATGCAACACAACGCAATGCCATGCAACACAATGCAACAGAACACAACACAGTGCAGTGGAACACAATGCAACAGAACACAACACTGCAGTGGAACACAATGCAATGCAACACAATGCAACACAACACAACGCAGTGCAGTGGAACACAATGCAATGCAATGTAACGCAATGCAACACAACACAGTGCCACGCAATGCAATGCAATGCAACACAACACAGCACAATGCAACACAATGCAATGCAACACAACACAACTCAGTGCAATGCAATGTAACACAACACCATGCAATGCAACACAACACAATGCAATGAAATGCAATGCAATACAACTCAGTGCAACACAACTCAATGCAATGTAATGCAACTCAACGCAATGCAACGCAATGCAATGCAACGCAATGCAATGCCGTGCTGTGCAATGCAACATGCCGCAATGCAGTGCAACGCAGATCAATGCAACAGACCTCAATGCAATACATCCCAAAGCAACACCCTGCCATGCAATGCAGTGCAACACAAGACAACGCAATGCAATGCCATGATGCAGGGGCTGCCAAAGTCAAGAACAACTCGGGTATTTCATGGGGTCTATGAGCTGTCCAGAGAGCTATTTTTTTCTGTTGTTCTATCCTACATCTCGGGCAGAACTCCTGGCTCTGAGCAGGGCAGGCAGCACCACCAACACTCAGCTCGGTTCCTACAGAGGGGCCAGGCTGCATTTCCAGCACAGGCAGCGAGGAAGGGGCACCTCACCCAGGGGAAAGGCCCCAACATGGCACCATTTGGGCATCTCCAGCTCGTCCTCGAGGTGACCTCTGCAGCCCCGCGCCGAGGTCCGGAGGCAGGAGGCTGGCACAAAGCTGGGCATATTATATTCTTTAATTACTGTTGCACTCGTAACATTTAAACACTGTCAATGAGAGATAGCTCATAACCGCAGGCTAGAATCCTTGCCACTTGGGGCTTGTAACTAAAACTGCAGGATTAATTTGATTAATTGATAGAATTATTTTCCAAACTACTCTTTTGTTTATGGAGGCTTAAAATGCTTGCCGCCTGCACCCTCCTGGTGTGTTGCAGAGTGGAGATAAAGCGGCTGAAAATAATTAGTATGGCTTAATTTAGGGAAAAAAATAACCTCAAAAGAATTTTGCAGAAAATTTAAAGCAGCACATTTTACTTTGCTTTGGCAGGAAATATTATGGGGTTGGAAATGGGACTTTTATGTTGTGTCGCGACAATATTTCACAAGGGCTGTGAGTCGCCAGGAGCCAGGGGTATTTCATGCCTGCTGCGGCTCCGTTTATTTTCCTTTCACCTCCGGATTTATTTCCTGGCAAGGAAAATGATGCCACTTCGGCTGCAGGGTGAGGGAGCACCGCGGAGCTCTTGCTGCAGGCAGGGAGGGGACATGGCTCCGTGCCCCGTCCATCACGGTCCCTTGCTCTGCCACCATCTGCAGGGTAATTTCCAAATTAGGAAAGGTTTTTTTGTGTGTTTTTTTTATTATTATTTCTTTTTTTCTTGCTTTCTACCTCCTTCCAGCCTGCCCATCCCGGTCCATCCTTCCATCCTTCAGTGCCGCTTGGCTCCCCAAAGGCCTCGAATTTGCCACATGCTGTGTTATCAGCTGGCACCTCGTTTGCGTTTGACACTCAGGAGATCGCAGCATGATTCCATGGAGAAGGGCAAAACCGGGATGCATCTCGCACCCCAGGATTAACGGATAGTGGCGGAGGAGGCTGCATGGGGCCGATTCCTGGTTTGGCGCCATTCCCAGCAGGAAGGCTGCCAGGATGCTCCATGGCGGGTGGATGCTGCAAGGATGTCCCAAAAGGGCCAATTTTGCTGCTGCAGCAGCTCTTTACTCCTAAAATCCCCCCAGAACTGCTGCTTTGGAGCAGCCACCCAGGTTTTGTCCCTCCTTGGCATTTTAATCCTCCCCATAACCACACAGCAGCGGGCATCGGGAGCTGGGCAGCACCTGCAAAAATTCCCTCTTTGGAAAAATTCCTCCCATTTGCAAAAATAAAACAAGCTGCTAATTTCACTTTTTTCGCACCCTAAATTTGGCATTTCTGTAGCACCAGCAGAGCCGCAGCGGCAACACTTGCTCTCTTTGCACCAGCCTGGCACGCGGTACCCAGGGATGCCAATGCCCCGTGGGCACCCGCAGTTTCTCCGACGCTGCCTTGGTCGTTCCCATTTGCATTCCCCCTCCGGCATCCCCGCGCCGCTAATATCTCCGTGGATTAATTGGCGCTAATGCAGCCGCGCGGCTCCGTGCGGAGATGTCACCCGCTCACAATGGGCGCAGCGGCGGCTCGCGCATTATCTCCGCTCTGCAGGCACCTCCGGCGCTCCACGGGAAAACGCACTATTTATCCCGGTATCCTGCAAAGAGCGCTCCGCAAACCCAGGGGAAGGAGCACCCAGGTGGCACATGCAAGGTGGGAATCACTAGGTGGGGAAATTTTGGATGGAGAGTGAGGAGGAGCCTTTGCTGCACGGGCTGGTGGCAGGACTTGGCCCTGCTTTTGGCATCTTCCGACGACAGGGATTTTCCAGGCTCGTTGTTCCCAGCTGGAGTCGCTCAGGGTGATGCTCTGCTTGGGAAATGCATTGGAGCACCAGGGGGTCTCTGGAAGGGGCACCCTGCAGACTCTGCAGTTTGATGGAGTCTGTTTTGAACCAAACTGGGCCAAATTCAGTGGAAAAAAAGCAACCTTCTGCTCGCTGGTTTCAGCCACAACCATTTTGGGACCAAAGGGGCAGACGATGAAAGAGCAGAGGTTTTTGTGGCCCCGGTTACCTCCCTTTTATTTTTTTTCCTCCTGCAACTCTTCTTAATTCCTAACTTAATTTCTTTTGACATCCTCATTGCTGGCTTGACCTCTTTACTAGAATCATGCAGTGCTTAAAGCTCATTATGCCACCATTGAAACAGGAAGTTAATTAAAAACTCTTTAAAAAAAAAATGAAAGAAAAGCAAAGCGAAGAGGGAGTGTTGGTGGCAGCATGCGGTGCCATATGGTGCCATGCTATGCCGTGCCAAGCCGCGCCATGCAGAGCACTCGGAGCATGGCGGGACCTGCGGGATGCTCGGCTCCAATGGGGAAAACGGGCTGGTTCCGGATGGCAGGTGCAGGAGACGGGGACAGGGCAGTGGGGTGGCTGCACAAGGGGTGCCCAGGGCAGCATCCCGGCTGCGGCATCCACCCGGCACAGCCGCTGTGCCCCCTGGACAAGCTGGGAAGGGATGAGCTCGGGGCAGTGTTGCTGCATCTCTGGTACCCTGAGGTGACCTGGGAGAGTGCCCGGGATGCGGGGCCTCCTCCGGAGCCTCCGCTTCCCCACTCCTGCTGCGCTGGGACTCACCCCAAATGCCTCCGGGGACAGTGGAATGGGGGGGGGTCCCCCGGTTACCCCTGTGCAGGGGAGCTGGGGATGGCACAGAGGACATGGAGGCTACGGTGCCTGCAGGAGATGTCCTGAAGGGGGTCTGAGGACCTGAGGCAGGGGGGGAAGCCCAATTGAAGGCTCAAAATGGGGGTCTTGGGGACCCACAAGAAGGCTGAAGGACCCCCTGGGGGGAGAGGAAGGGCAAAGCGGGGAGAAAGGGGGTCCCAGTGGGGCCGTGGACCTCGGAGTGGGGAAGAGCCCAAAGCAGGGGGCTGAAGAACTGCAAGAGGCTTGGGGACCCCGCAGGGAGGGGATTGGAGACCTCGTGGGGTGGGACACCCCAAAGCCAGGGGTGGGACCGCCCAGTACGGGCTCGGGGGACCCCAAAGGGGAGGACGGAGACCCCAAAATGGGGGTTCAGACCCCCCCCATCACCCCCAAATCCCTGCCCTGCCTCCC